AAAAAGACACAGTCCCCGTTAAATTTTAAAAGTTCTCTTGTGCTCGTCATATTAAAGCGGAAGGGTTGTCGCGAGCATGTACAGAGAGTGCTGGACGGTATGAATATGCATGAATAATTAATATTCAAAATGGCCACAGGGAATGGGTATTTCTTTCGACAGGAGTCAAAATACTAACAGAAGACAGGTCATATGTAATGATATATATTATACAGTATGGAAGATTACAACACAACACAGGATAAATAATACACAAACAAATCATCTTTGAAAACTTAAATCGTTTTTTAAAATTAATGTTTTATGAAGTCAGCCAAAATAAAATAATGTTTCAAAAAAGTACTATAACTTATTTTCTATATTTTTGTTTTGAGAAAAGTCAATAGCTACTGGAAATTTAATGTTTGTATATTTTGTTTATTTGGACGTGGCAATATAAAATTTAGTTGTCGTAATGTATTGGTTCATTAAAAACTTGCATGAATGTGCGTCATCGGCGCCAAAAAGATGATAAAACGAAATAAAATCTACACAATAGAAGATTTTCGATCTGCAGTTAACAGTTTCTAGCAAAAATAATAGCATAAAAAAAAAATACATAAAATACATACTTAAAAGAATAATTTTCATTCGAATCGAAAGTTTGTTGATGTCTGCTTCGTTGAAAACAGCTATTACTGCGTGTACCCTAATACTATGTAACGATGCTTTTGATTGGACAAAGCCATGCATTGATGCGAAAAACAACCAATCAGAATATTTGATCCAATAAAAACACAAGTAAATTTATTTTCTCCACTTATGACGCGAGTTGAAAGCATGGACGTTTTACCGGAGTTTTTAAATCGTGATTTAAAGAAAATTCAACTTTAAATAGTTGAAATATAAACATTTACATCTTTAATCAAGCATTTGTCTGGACTTTTTGGTGATCAACTATGTTTGTGATGGTACGTCAGCTGCGCTGGTCGTTTGCCGATCATGCAAGTGCATAGCTGCCTTTGTTCCACTCGGCGGTGACGATGTTGCCGCTACAAGTCATGGCGTGAACTGGGTTTTAACCATAGACCTTATGTTTTAACGAATGGTTTTACCGATATCGATTTTATATATTTGACGTCACCCTGGCAGTAAAAATATGGGTACAGTAATCCTCTTTTCTATGCGTTACCGCCGTGCTAAGTAGGGTTTCAGGGTAGGGTTTCACCCACACTCGATTGTCACAGGGTCTCTTACGTCGCCAACTCGTTGAGTTTCACGCCTATTGTTTTTTTTTTAATTGGTGACACAACCCAAGCTTTGATTATCCACCCTCTCAAACATTCTTTTGTCTCCCAGCACGTTCGTTGCGTCATGGACAAAAACAATAGTGCCGGACGGCAGCCATAAGTGCCGGTCGCTAATTCTGAGTGCCGGACGGCGCCGTCCACCGCCGTCCAGCGTGGGGAGAACCCTGTATATAACTGGTCAATCGCGATATGTATTGAGTACTAGTACTTGTGTGTTTCTGTGTGTGATTTTGACTAAATTTATTCCGAACGACGCTCAAAATAATTTGACACTTTGTTATTTGCGAACGCAACTCACACTATGACCCTTACTCAATTTGCATAAGTAATACGAATGCTGTAGTTCAGAAAATCTATTGGTTAACATTTGCTCGTGTCTGGGTGCGCAAAACAAAACTGCACATATAATTATTGCATAGCTGAATTTCTACAGATCAATTGGACTTAAACTACTAGTATAATGACTGTGACGATTAATCGCTTGTCTGAGTACATGCGGCGACGAATTATTGGATTGGCAGCAGCCGGACGAAAAATGAAAGAGATCTCGGAACAGTTAATTTGTTGAGGAAAACAAAACAAACTCAGCCAGTGATACATTTTGAAAACAAAAATACAAAATAAACGCAATCAGAGGCGCCGACCGCGCGCGTTGGAAATAAATAAAATGTGTTGTGACAGTCTCACCAAACTCTTTCACTCGCGCAATATAATTATGTTATTCCCAAAGCACTTATAGTTAAT